TCAGACAGTCTCCTGCTAATGGACTTTTTTTGTAACCCTCTCCAGCAGTCAGAAGCCTCTGTCACTCCAGGGACACCAGAGATTCCTGATGTGACGTCTCCAGCCCCCGCAGACGGGGTAGATGGGAGCTCCTGGGGCAGCGCTGGCCCCGGCGCCTGGGAAAGGAGCCCTCCAAGCCTGGGAACTGGCTCGGCTCTAGCTGCGACTGCTCCCAGCGGACAGCAGGGAAGCGACTCCTTGGCGGGGGTGGTCAGCAGCCGACGGCGAGGACAGTGTCGCCCAAGCTGCCGGGAGATGGGGAGGGACTTCCCCCTCTTCCCAAAGCGCGACGGCTTTGGAAGGCTGTCAACCCAGCTTGCTCTATGGCCTCACCTGATCCTGCTTTTCCATCTTTTAGCCCTTTGTAGCAAACTTCTCCTGGGAGGGATGGAAGTGGGCAGGATGTCCTTGGGACCCCAAGACCTGTGTCTTCCAGGTGAGCCAGAGGGCCTTTGGAGATGAGTCCTCCAGGAGATGGGCACCACATGGGCTGCTCCCTGTCAGGGAAGGACCTTTGCCTTCAACCATGGCCTGGCTTTCAACCGTGGCCATGACCTGGCTTTTCCCCTGCTTTTTTTTTTTTTTTTTTTTTAAGCCATAACTAGCAGCAAAGTCCATCTCCTGCCTCATTTAAAAGCTACTCCCTCTCCTGATGGATAGATGGATGGAAGAGGGTTCTTGCAGCAGTAAATCTGCCGCAACTTTATTACCTGCATTTGTCAGCAGTGACGTGAAGAGGACTTCATACAGAGAGGACCCTTGAAGGGGTAGGGAGGGAGCCAGCAGCTGCCTTCAGGAAAGCTGGTTGTTGAGGAAGCAGGCGAGAAAACCCACATTAGGAAGCAACAGAAAGAAGGCCCTGAGCTGGGTGAATAGGTGTGGGGCTGACTGCAGGCAGTGCTTGCAGGAAAGGAGGAGCTGTGACCGAAACGGCCGCCGCTCGCACCGCAGCCTCCCCTGCACGCAGACGGGGAGGAAATCCAGAGCAAGGAGCGGACGGCGCCTTTAAGCTGTGAGCAGCTAAGAGCATCAGCTGCAGCCAGGCCTTGCCCCTGCCAAAATGCGAGGCTCAGGGAACGCGGAGCCAGGAATCTCCAAGTCGCTTTTGCAGCCTTGGAAAATGCAGCTGTGTGGGGATTTCAGCCTGGGACGGTTGTTCCTATCCGCGGTGCAGAAGGAGGCTTCTGTTGGGAGCTCGTACAAGGGCCATCAGTCTTTGTGGTGTCAATCACCTGGCAGCAATGGTGCTCTCCGGTCCCTTTAATATCCGAGTGTGTTCCCGGAGCGAGACCGGGATGCTCATCCAGGACTTGGCTCCTCAGGGAGAAGCAGTTTGTGACCGCTGGGAAAACGGGCACAGCGATAAAACAGACACGGTAACCGATGAGACGGGGCAACCGAGCAGGCGCTGCGAGGGCCGGGCTGCTGCGAGTCCCCATGCCGCCCTGGGGACATGGGGAGGTGGGACTGGTGCCAGGTTTTCAGTGGGATGGGGCTGTGTGCGTTGGATTTTCCCATTGCTGAGGCAAGCAGAGAGGATGCTCCACTCAGTCCTATGGCAGGAGGGTTGGGAGACCCCAGCCGAAAGGTGTTGGGGGAGCATCCAGCCTGCATTTTCCATGGAGCAGTCCACAGATCGTCTAACATGGGATGTACAGAGGGCAAGAAGTGTGTGTGCATTTTGATAATGAGTAAAATAAAAAATATTGCCCTGTAGCTGAGCCAAACCTGGTGGTTTTGGGGGCAGGGACTGCTCCTCCTCATACAGTGCATTCCATTCATTTAGGCCTGCATGGTTCTTGCCCGGCAGAAACCAGCCCTCATCGGTGAGAAATGGGCAGAGCCAGGTGGGAGACACCTGCATGACCTGAGCATTTTGGGCAGGCTTTGGAATTTTTGCCTCCCCCTCCATGTGTTTGCTTCTGCTCACTGTACTCACTCCTGCTCTACTCGCTATACTGGGCTTTCAGCTCCGCGTCATCCTCCCTTTCCCTCACCTTCATGCCCTAAAATCTTCTCATCACTTTTTGCTTTTTTTTATTGTTATTATTTTGGGGGTCCGAGCGGGCTTTATTTCTTCTCCCCTGGCAGATTGATGTGAGCTGCCGAGTCCCCCAGCCGTCCGTCTCAGGCTGATGACAGCCCGGCCTCCCGCCGCGCCACCCCAGCAGATTCATGGCCCGTCCCAAGGCCCTTCAATTCTTCAACGCTCAGGCTGTGCATTTCACATTAGGCATTAGTTATTTGCCTATTAAAGTGCTTCAAACATGAGAAGTCTGCTGGCAGGGAAGGCCAGTTTCCCCAGGGTGTCCCTGGTGGGCCCCAGTCCTCTGTTTTGGGCTTGCTGGGTGTTTAACTTGCACAAATTAATTAAAAAAAAAAAAAAAAAAAAGGTACTGAAACATGATCTCTACCATAATGTTTATTAAATAGTAATTTTAAAAGGTTTTTTTATACAAATCATATAAACACAGTTTGATTTTTTTTTCGTCTTTTTTTTTTTTTTACACTGAAGAATCACAGTAAACGCTCTTTAAGTCCGTAAGTCCTGGCTCAGCCAGCGATCGCTCAGACGCCTCGAGCCGCAAAGCTCAGGGAGGCTCCATTTCCGCAGGGAGCCCCGTGACGGCGTCCTGCCCCGCTCGCCCCGGCGCAGGCGGCCCCGGCAGCGCCTCCCCGCGCGGGGACAGCGGCAGCACCATCAGCACCAGCTTTTCCTTTTTTTTTTCCCTTTTTTTTTTTTCTGAATTTCACAGAGGGAATTGCGATCCGCAAACCTAATGCAGTTGCAGAGGAGGATGCAAAGATTTGAAAGCACTGACTTCTTGTTTGATATTTTTTTGCTTTTTTTTTTTTGCCTTTTTTTTTTTTCTCCCTGTTAAGGTTACAATCAAACACAGTTTTCCGTAGTAGAACAGTAAAGCACCCAGCAGAGGTAAGTGAGGTATCGGCTTTGCAGCATTTTCGGCCTGCTCCTGCCCGGTGAGGGCACGCGCGTGGTCCCTGTACTAGCCAGCGGGCGACGGGCAAGCGGCGCCGCGGCAGCGCCAAGGCCAGCAGGACGCTCCCGCCCCGGGTCAAAAGGTACATGAACACGAGTCAGCCCCACGGGACAAGTCACAGACACACCACAGACAGTGAAGTCACGCGCGTGTGCAAACACACTACTTCTGGATATATGTATATACGAACTTTGCTCTCTGCACGCCTACTAGACACCATAACGTTCACCGCTTTCACTTAGATACTTGCGCCAGTGTTGGCCTACGTCGACGTTGCTACGGTACGGTCCTTTCCCACCCGTCCTTCCCCTCTGGCGGGGTCAGGTCGGGGAGTAGCTGGCTCTGCACCGCCACGGCCCCTCGCACGCGGTTCGGACGTGAGCAGTGCCAAAAGGGACAGTTTTTCCTTTTTATTTTTTTCCTTTACCCCCTAAAAACTTGCCTGGCGGGCTGCACAAGTCGGGTGTCACGTCACATCGCACCTTTAGCGCTCCATCGTTAGCAAGGAAGGGGTGTGTGTGTGTGGGGAAAAACATCCATCCCAAACCCCAAATCATTTGCTAATGAAAAATCAGGACATTTTGGGTACTTAGGAGCTCCTGAAAAAAAGACAAGCCCGATGCACTGGGAAAGCGCTCGCTTCTACACGTGCAAGCTCCACATGTATGAGACTGGAGATGAAGGCCTTAGTCTGGGGCCCAACATCCGAGCTGTTTCTCCATTAAATTGTCTCCATAGCACTGCTGGGTAGAGAGGCATGGACTGCGAGACAGCATTGCCAGACTACTAGAAAGCAGAGGGATGAGACTTCTCCAGTGAGGCTCTACCCAGTAGAGATCCAGTGAAGAGCAGTGAAACGAGGGGGAAGGATGAAGGCCTCACTTGTCATCTGATACAGCACTGATCACCGGATAGGGGGAAAAAACACTTCTAAGGCACTTATTTAAAGTAAAAAAAAATCCAAATTAAAAAAAAAATCCAAAATGTAGCTCATGAATCAGGTCACTGATGTGACGCAGGGGAGGGATGAAGATGTCGGTGCTGGCAGGAGCCCGTGGCCAAGGGAGACGGGAGCGTCGCAGAGCCACGAGGTTTGGTGTCCTGTCGGGTTCCAACCCTCCGCTCTGCCTGGCGCCCCAGGTCAATGCTGAGGGAGCCCCCTCTTCCCAAAAGCCTGGGCTTCGGGAGCTGGATGGACCACATCTTTTGCTTGTTGCAATTTTCTGATTACACCAAAAAAAAAAAAAAGAAAGAAAAAAAGGAAAAAAGGAAATAAAAAGGGGGCAGGATCAAGAGGGGTGGGAGAGTCAGAGCGAGGCCTTCCCCATGAAGGCCGCAGCTGTTCAATCCAAGATCTGGATTCAATAAATGGCTCTTATTCACAATTCACTTTAAGGCTCTTCAGCTTCTCTCGATGAGGTGCTTCCACATGCATGGTTTCCTTTCCATTCCGGGTCCCGATGACTTGGGAAGCGCTGTCACTGTCTCCGGCGCTACCACGTGCCTCGTGCCATTACCCCTGGCACGAGGAAGAAATCCAAGGGCAGCGACCTGCCCCGTCTTCAGGATTAGAAACTGCTGCTTCCTGGGTTTAGCGGGATGCCCACGAACCCCCTATAGCCAAAACAGTATCCATATGGGGGGTGGGGGGTCGACAAGGGGCAGGGTCTGTATGTGTGTGTGGGATTATTTCTAAGGACAGGAGAGCTGAAGAAATCCCCCAGCCTTCTTGGCAATTTATCGGAGAGAGGAAGTGGGAAAGAGCAACCGACATCTAGTTTCTCACATCCAAAAGGAAAAAAAAAAACATCCTCCCGCTCCGCCACGCACGAAGGAGAACCAACAAACCAGGCCGTGGAAACGCCCGTCCAGTCCTCGGTGACCCCGACCCGCCAGCCAGGGCCTCGCGGTCACGGCCGGTGGCAGGAGCAGCACCTCCCCGCTCCCTCGCTCCTCCCGGCCAGGTCGTTGGAGATTATGGCGTTCAGTTCCCGTAGAAAACAGCAAAAAACAAGGAGTTGTCCCCACCAGCCCACCTCACCGGACCGCAGCGTTGAGGGAGATCCTGAGGTGGCCCATCAGGCCTCCGAGCAGCACTTCTGGTGGTTCATTTTGACCTTCTGCTTGATGCCATCGTAGAGCTCGAAGTTGTAGTTCTCCAGCGTGGTGGAGCTGCGCGAGGAGAGGCCGGCGTATGAGCAGGTGCAGTAGAGCAGCAGCCCGGCGCAGATGGCCCCGAGGAGGACGCCGAGGGAGCTCATCGCTATGATGGTGACCAGGATGGGGTCCAAGGTGTAGAGCCAGCTCTTCTCTTTGTCCAGCTTGGATGTTCCTGGAGAGTTAGTAGAGAACAGTGTGTCGTTCCTATCCGATCCAAAGTAATCTGCAGTGAAACGGGCATTTATTATCCAGGGATCACTGTTTTGTCCACATGACTCATTTCTTAGGTGAAGCTGTAATGACCAAAGAGCCATCTGTGCTCCTAGGCAGTATATATTGGCAGGCTTTGCCAACCCCTGTCCAAAAGTGCTGAAGCACCCAATTCCCAAGAAATGTAGGAGCCCTAATTCCTTTTTGCATCTCAGTCTACGTGAATAGCATACAAGCACCTCACACTCACTGAGACTCTGGCCCTTCAAGTGTGACTGGGTTCAGAATTACGGAAACAAATCTGTCACAGTTCCCAGACTTAATTTTCTCCATTTGCAAGTCAAAATGCCATGCAAGTAGCAATTAGCACTTGAAAGTTCAGTTCCACTTGTCCTAACACAAATACAATATATTGACTTTGCAGGATTGCTTGCCATTGAGAAAGGGAAGAAAGAAAAGAAAACTAATGTCTTTGTCCAGACACTAAGTCACCACTTTAATGCACACTCTCAAAAGTGCTTTGGCTCCTAAACTCTATTGAAGCTGATATTTGTAAGACTCCTAGATAATTTGGAGGACTTCTGTCTCACTCTGCAAGTAGTCACTCATACATGCTGTTTAGGTAATTTGGAGGACTTCTGTTTCACTCCACAAGTAGGCACTCATATGCTGTTTACTGTCTGTGCACACTCATATAGACATGGGCAATGTCCCCTGGGGTCCATGTCTGGCACTGGGGAAGGGGATATATAAATCAGCGAACGAAAGTTAAGCCACCCTTGTGTTTACAAAGTGGAAGAAAGTTGGATGCTCCAAGAAGGTCAACTGAGAGAACCTAAATTACACTCTTAGTGTAGATGGCATGAATACTCTACAAAGCGTTAGGCAATGACATATGGTAAGCTGCCATGTACCAGATAATATATCTGCCATGGTCAGAAGAAGTCCTTAGCACCAGAGCGATAATTCACTGATGTCATTTGCTATTTTCCTGTCACTGGGCTGTGGATCGCTGTCTCTGCCCCTCACCTAGAAGTACTGGAGCGTCTGTGTCAAACACGTCATTGCCTCACCAGCGACCTGCCCGCGTACAGCTCGCAACCTCTGACAGCCTCCATGAAGCAGACTTATTCATCCCCAAACCACACAGCAATGATATCTTGGCTTCAAGCTCAAGGCAGGGAAAAGCTTCAGCTAAAACTTGCATGAAGGCACAAGAACCAGAGTCTCTGGCAGGGCCCAAGGATTTCAGCAGCACTCTGCTCCTCCTTCAGAGGAGGTTGGAGGAATTTCTTAGAGTTAGGAAGGATAAGCAGGTTTTGAAACACAAACAGAATCCCAGAATGGCTGAGGTTGGAAGGGGGCACTAGAGATCACCCAGCCCAACCCCCTGCTCAAGGAGGGACACCTACAGCATGTGGCACAGGGTGGCATCCAGGCAATTCTTGAAGATCTCCAGAGAAGGAGACTCCACAACCTTTCTGGGCAGCCTGTGCCAGGGCTCTGTCATCCTAACAATAAAGAAAGAAGTTCTTCCTCAAAAACCTCTCAGATGGCTAAAATTTTGGCTTGAACTGAGCCATCTGCTTTTTCTCAGACCAGCATTGCCATTGCCTAGACCTGGTGGTATAAACACAGAGCTATGGAAGGGAGGAATCACACTGGTGATGGATTGGTTGTAAAAAGAGGGAAAATAAATATAACTAATTTGTTCAAGACTACACAAGGCGCCCACAGGAAGGTCAAGTGACGGCACATTTCCTAATTTCCTGTCTCTCTGCTGTATATCACCTACTTCTTCACGTTGCACAGCTCTGCACGACATAGCAGAGTGGGAAGGGATGGAATAACTGAGAGTCTCATCACAGAGGGCGAGATCCAGCAGAAAGGCCGTGCCAGCCCGCTCCTATCCCCAGCTATGGAAGATGTCTTCAGGGCTGGAAATAACTATGGCACCTGCCACTGAAAACCTAGCTCCCCCCCGGGATATATCGCCACGTGGCATTTCAGTACCAACCATGATCGTCGCTGTCTTCGAAGCCTTGCTCGGGGATGGGAAAGTCATCCTCCAGTCTTGGGAAATTCACTAGAACAACAAAATGGGAAGCACGGTGTGTTTAAAAAAGCCATTCGGATGAGGCATTATTGCCAATGGTCACTGTGGGGACCTGTCAGAGGGAAACAGTATTTCAACTACTAAAGTTCCTCCTCGTGTAGCGAAAGTCAGCGAATACTCTTGTACCCTCACACCAACAACAGGCTCTTCCCACTACATCACATTTCAAGTCTATCAAACAACTAGGTTTTAAGAAGAGAAGAGACCAAAGAGCAAAGAATCCAGGTAATGTGAATAGCACTAAAATATTGTCATTGATGCCTCCATAATGGCCATAATTCACTATTAACATGCTCATGGGCATTATCCTTATGACTTTCAATAGGATCTCAGTACCCATCATTACTTCCCATTAATGCTAGGGCCTATTAGCACACTCTCCTTTTCATCTTTCCCTGTACATCTTAGTGGACACAGAGCTCCAGTGACCCAGTTATCCTTCCGGTTTCAAATAAATTCCCGGTAAATTGATTAAGTCATGTATCATCATTACATGCTTTAATGCAAAATCTGGTCAAATGGGGAGAGTGGTAAACGGGTGTCCACATCTAGGCATTTATGTTAACATCTCTCTGATCCAAGTCCCTTTTAGTGGCGACATTTCTTTTTATGCTGTTCAGTGCAGACCAAGCACTAGTAACCAAACACACACGTCGCAGTCTGAGCAGAGGCAAGTGCTTTTCTGCGCAGTCTTCCCAGTATTACTTCTGTATATAGAAACAGTGTTTCTTCTTCAGTACTCCAGAAGAAAATGCCCTTTCATTGCAACCTGTTTAGGCTTTTCCAACCTGACTGCAACTTCGGGTGCTCAGCCAAAAAGGCACCTTGAGAAGACCAGAAAAACTTGAAAGTGGCAGAAGTCGCATTCCTAAAACTGACTGAGGGTCACGATCCTCACTTCTCCGCCCTAGTTACCGGTATTTCCCCAAATACCAGTTTGAGAACTGCATTTGGCCCTCCTTGCTGGAAGGGCTCAAGGCTTTGCTCAAGAGGGCCTAGCAAGGCACAGGAGGCAACGCTGGTCCTGGCCGATGAGCAGCGTTGCGTTAGTGAGCCTGCTAACGATGCTGCTGTTGGCTTGTTGCAGAAACAGAGGTGCACAACATCTTCTGCAAATCCTCATTTTAGCTCCAAGCTCACACACTTCCTCAACACTTCTGGAAGCGACAGGCCCAGATGGCAACATCTTGGAGTTGGGAGAAGCGCTTGGGGGCCTTGCGCAAACGTTTAGAGCTGAACATGTGGAAAGGAACTTGCAAAGCAGTTCACACTTGCAAGCGTCTCCTTGGCGAGTCCTCTGGTGTCTTTAAGGCAAGCGGCGCTGCTCTGCCGGCAGCCTCACCTGTGCAACCCTACGGAAAGTGTAGGTGGTTGCACCAACATATGCAAAGGTGGGAACCGGACCACAGCCTGCAAAGGAAGCCAAGTGCTATGGAAAGTAGGTGCAAGTCTTCTTCTCAGTGTGCCAGCTCCTCTGAATTTTGTGTGAAAACACATTAACAATTTGGCACTTTTTTATTCCCCTAGGTAGTTTAGAAGGAAAAGCCACAAAAAGAAAGTCTCAGTTATTCACTGCTTTCAAGGGAATATCAGTTCTTCAAGCTTGAAAGGGAGGAGCACTGGGAAAATGTGAAAAGCGAACATTTATAGCAAAACCCCAGCCCCAAATCTACTTACTCCTTCAGCATTTTTCTCAATTCCCTATGTTAATACGACTCAACTTACGCTTCAGAGTGCTCTGCCTCCTCATCACCTCGCCTTTCTCCTCGGGCCCGCGGCAGGACCTCATTAATCTGTTATTAGCTCTCTGGCTATGGAAGCACATAACCCGACACCACTTTTTTCCATATGGGGGTTTCCTGAGTCATTAACTAGAGCCAGCTCTGGCTGCCGGTGGGAACTGAAGCCGGGGGGTCTCTGCTCCGCTCCTGGCGCAGATGCCCTCCCGTCACAGTGGAGCGCTGCTCGCTGCCCTGAATTAGGTTCCTCTGTGGGAAATGCCAGCAATATTGTCAGAAATGGAGCCAGCCAAAATAAGCCACCCGGCTCTGGAAAAAGTCCGCAGAAAAACCCACAAGCTCTTGGGCAGAAGGGGGAAAACTTCTCCATTTGGGTAAACGCAGAGCTTCTCTCTTAAAGGGCAATCTGCATGCACAATAAACGCAATATTTTTAAATGAAAAAAATAAAAAAGAAATTATTAAGGAAAGGTGGGCGAGGAAGCTGACAGGAGCCCCTGTACCTAAGTGCAAGGAGAGCTTTTTGTGGAGGCAGCCCTGGCGCGCGTGGCAAAGTGGCGCCGGAGCACCGAGGCGGTTGTCCCGGAAAGATGGTGCCAGCCCTGCCGCTGGGAACGGCTGGATGCCGGGAAAACTGATTCTTTGTGCGATCGGGGAGCATGGCCAGCGAAAGGCTGATTCCTGGGACCTGGAGCAGATAGGGGAGATGCTCATCGAGATAAGCAGCGTCTCAAGCTCGTGGGAGAGAATTAGTATTTGCAGAGATTAAGGAGCTTCAGTGTACATTTGTTTTAAGATAGTGGCACTGGCAGGAGGAGACGGAGGTGCCGGTAGGCACAAGAGCAACCAGAAATCCCATGTCTGTCCTGTTGCTGGACCTGGCCCAAAACCCCTTGTCACGAGCTGGTGCCACCCTCTACCTCTCCGTCTTCTCCCACGCGCGTGTTTGCTTTGAGCTCCGCTGGGACAGGCACCGAGGGCACAAAACACACACCGTGTGCACGAGCGCACGGGCACCGCTGAGCTGTACGAGTAGGGCAGACGCACAAAAAAAGAAGAAAAGAAGGAAAAAAAAATGCAGAGATGCAGGTCCTCGGCTTTGCTTGTGTTTGAACAGCCCAAGTGGGGGATCGCACCTGATTTTCTTTCTTTCCCTGTTTTGCTGATGCTCTGAACTCCTTCCGAAGCCAGGGAGTCTCGTTGCAAAGCTGAGCCGACTCTCAGGGGGAAGAGCAAAAGAGGAGGAAAGCAAATGCAGGAGGGCAAGAAAAACCACTCAGACTGCCAGCAAAACACACTTTGAATAAACAGAGATCCTGTTGACTTGTTCCAAGGGGCACCTGAAAGCACCAGCGCAGCTCCTTGCGAGGCTGCGAAGGCACCTCCTCCTCCTCCTCCTCTCGCAGACAAGGAGCACATGGCAATTTCCAGGCCTTGCAAGCTGCAGGGTACGTGGCCGGCTCCAGAGCCCCGGCCCCAGGAACGCGGCGAGCGTGTCAGCCGTGACAGCCAAAGCCCCAAGCAACCCTCAGGCCCGATGCTTCGTGCCACTCATCGGCGTTCTGGCTCGCAAAGAGAGAAGAAGGAAGAAAAACCTCAGTTGTTTGTATAAAAATATTGTCATTTTATTACATCCCACACAATACATTTTCAAAGAGTTTCAAATTTCCACAAGATTTTTTTTTTTCCACACACAGGCAACTGGGCAACGCTGGGGATGTCACGGCTCGAGGAGCTGGGGAGACGGGGCTGGGGAGGGGGGATAAAAACCTAGTCGTGACCTTTTGCTTCGTCTTTGGTGCTTCGGGCTGTAGCGCCCAGGTGCCACCTCTCCTCGCAGCCCCACGCAGGGCTGGACGGGAGCTGCTAGCGGCCTGGGACCGGCCAGGGCTCTGACCATGCAAATAACACGAGCAAGATGGAAAAACCCTCCTCAGCGGGGGCGCTCGTCGTTTTTTTTCTCTTCTTTTCTTTTTTGCCGTCAGAGCGATCGATCCCACCCGCTCGTGCACGTGGTCATGCAGCAATATGGCTAAGGCATTTTGGCTCTGGGTCACGCCGGCCGCGGTGCCGGCCGTGCCGGGCGGGCCGCCAGGCCCTGCCTGTCCGGCGCTTGCACGAGCAGAACGTGAGCTCATGGAAAACTTGTTGCAGCCAAGCAAGCCAGCTGGCCCTGTCTATGAATCAGCAGCTACGAATCGGGCGGAGGGGGGAAGGAAAGCAAAAAAATAATACCCAGGAAAGGGAATTACACTCGTCTCGTGACTGTTTCCAGCAGAAAGACCCGGAGGAGCCCTCTCCCACTTCCCCGTGTGACAGCAAAACCGCCCGCACCCCGAGCGAGGCTACGCACGGCATAAATAAACCTGTGGTCCTCACGAAATGACAGTGCCTAGCGGCCACCTTCGCCCCGCCGAGGTCTGCGCGCTACCTAAGGCTGGCTTCGACGGATACGGACTGAACATTCATCGGGAGCTTCGCGGGCATAAGGCAACTTCGAGGAGATTCGCTGGCGGGCGGGCGGCGAGGAGGGACCCCCGGCGCCGCAATGGCTGTGGCAGGGAGGGGCCTTCGGGAAAGGCGGGATGCAAGGTAAGACCTCGGGCCTCTCCGAACGCCTCCGGGCTCCGCGGGCGCCGCCGGGACAGCAACGCGCTCGGAGCGGGAACCCCGCCACAGCTCGATATAAGGCAACAAAAAAACAAAAAGCATTGCGCTCTTCCCACGTAAACACAGCGGGTCCCGGGCCTTCCCGAGGGGAGGCGAAAACGGACAAACAAACAAAGACACAAACAAACCCCCCGGAGCGTTCCCTGTGCAAGTAGAGGCAGGACGAGCCAGCCCCCGAGGGGCCGTTCCCGCCGGCCGCCCGCCCTCCCGCGTACGCCGGGACCCCGGGGGCAGCCCGAAACGGCCCCGCCGCGGCGCAGCGCCCACGGCCGTGCCCGGGCGGGCGACGTGTCTCCTCCGGCGATCCCAGGTGCAGCATTAGTTTACAAACGTTTGTCAGAGATTCAGGGAGGCGGTGGCACGGGGGGGACCAAGGGGGACACGGAGGAGGGCCAGAGATGTCTAAGAGTTCACACGGATGCTAGGTAAGGAGAAAAGTGCAAAACTGAGGCAACGTATCTGAAGTCTTTTAAGTGTCTGTCTGTCTGTCTGTCTTTTTGCTCTGTCTGCTCGCCGCCGTGGCGCTGGGCTCTCAGCGGCGCGCGCCGGGCTCTTGCTCTAGCTTTATGGTTAGGGTGGGCTCCACGGCCCCGGGCGCCCCGTTGGCATAGTGGGAGGTTTTGTAGGCGATGGCGTGACCGCTCTTTGGCCGCATAGCGGAAGCGGTGGTAGTGGAGCACCAGGGCCAGCGCGACGGACGCCAGCACCACAACGGCACCTCCGGCGGCAATAACGTAATACCAGTAGGCGGGGATGGGCTGCACTGACACCGTGTCCACTGTGGGCTCGCTCCCTGGCGGCAGGGTGGCCCCTGCGGAGGAGACACAGAACAGGGTTGCGAGGCGGCAGCATGCAGCGGGCGCACCGCGACGCAGCCCCCCTTCCCTCGGCCTTCCTCGGGGTCTCCTTGTTGGCCGGCGTGCGCACGCGGGGGCTCCTGGCCCCGGCGGGTGGCTCTTCCTGCGCCGCCCTGTGTCTCGGGCAGTGGCAGAACACGCCGCGTTCCCCATCGGAGGGAGCCTGTCACCTCCAGCAGCTTGGGAGGCTACGGCTGGGAAGAACGGGAAAGGGGAGAGCAGGGAGAAGCCCTCGTCCCCCGGATGGAGCCGAGTGCACAGAGGCCGAGGGGGTGAGCAAGGATGGTTGTGGTTATTCCCACTGACGTCCTGCGAGGACGCGGCTGATGGAGGGCTCCTCCCGCGCGCTCGTTAGACACGCGCTCGCCTCCAAGCCTGAGCGAAGCCGCTTCCCTGGCACGGAGAGCTTGCCCTATGCCAGCCCCTAGGAGCGGCGGGAGGTGATGCTCACGTTACAAGCCCGGGCTGGGAAAGATGCCGCCCGGGAAGCGGGCCGAGGGGACCAGAGCAGAACGGTGTAAGTGACATCCGCGCTGAGGAGGTCGCAGCAGTGACACCATGAGCCCGGGCAGGACAAGTAAGCACCCAAGCAAGCCACAGCTCCCCGGCGTTACGTACGGATCCGGCCGCGCGCGCGCCTCCCCGTGCCAGCAAAGCTTGCACGTTTTCCAGGGAGCCCCCAGTTTGCTTTCCATCACCACACAGCCCTCGTGGCCCGGAGCAGGCCGGCAGGAAAACGAAATCCCAACCCCCCAAACGGACTAGTTGCGTCTCCAGCAGTGGAGAGCTGGAGCCCAGAGCGACACGACCAGGGCTGCGCTCGGGAAGACGCCGCTTATGCTCCGCGGGCTCGCGCTAGGCTAGCAAACACGCCATTTCCGCTGGTTTTCCCGCTTGTGGCAGCTGCTCGCCCGCGGCCCCCTCCAAACACCTCCTGCCGGAGGACCCTCCTGCGCCAGCGCGAGCCCTGGCCGCCCCGCTCGGCACTGGCCGCTGGCCTGTGCGCTCCTGAAGGCTCTGCTTTGCTCCTCAGCCTTCGCATGGGGGCTCTCCAGGAGGTGCCTCCTGGTGAGGGCCCCAGGACAGCGCGGGGACCGTCCCCGGCTGATCGCACTCTCGCCCTTTTGCCACTCAGAACAGCTGCTGTTTGCACAAGCGCCTGATTTAGTCCCTTTTGCTTTAAAAGCCCATGCCACCCGCGAGGAAACACCAAAATAAGCGCAGTTTTTACCTGAAGGGTAGAAGTTCTCACCTGGGAAAGCTGTGAGGGGTTCTGCAAAAGAAGAGAAAATGAAAAAAAAAAACTAGGGTTAGCGAGAGTTGTTTGGGACTTTGGGGAAAACACATCTGAGGCTGAGGGTCATTTGGATTCAGCACAGTGGCCTGAGTCATCCTAAGGGCAATTCCCACCTGGCCCCATGAGGAAACTCTGGAAACCCTTAGGATTTCCAAGAGCAGCACTTTGGGTCCCGGATCCCTCTGGCATTAGTGTCCATAAGGGGAACATGTCCTTCTGTTTGTCTGTGCCCTGCTCCTTTTCCTGACAGTGCCAATAAACAAAGGTTGTTTTCTGGTTTTCCCTTTGAAGATGCTTCAAAGAACTAATCATCTGTCACAAATTACTGTCTCTGAAAAGCAACAATCAGTGCTTATTACCAATTACTTTCTCTCGCAGGAGTAATAGGCTCATGATTATTTTTAGATTACTCTTGCATTAGGTCCGTGAGTCAGAGGAGCAGCTGAAAGCACCGCTCCAGCTCAGGACACCAATGACATGTTTGTCAAAGGAAAAAATTACTGCGGCTCCTTAGAGTTCATTTCAGGCTGCAAAGGAACCAGATCACTTCCCCCATCCGAAAACCAGGAGCTGTGCTGGTGTCAGTTATTCCCCTGTTCACTGGTATTTTGGTGACATCGGAAACGACCCCCGTGAATTATGTGAGAAGTTTTCAGCCCCGTGGCTGGGAGTGATCTGAGACAAGTTATTGCAGTTTTAGGTCCTTGCAGGAGCCCAGTGTTATTTTTAGGGCTGGCAATACATGGATCTTGGTCACAAGATGTTATGTTTTGAAGCATTAAGTGCTATACGTTCAAGTGGGGCCCAGGATGCATTGAGACGAGCAGAAGCCCAAGCACCCAAGAGGAGCCACCCCCTGGGTTTTGGGGCACTGCACCTACCCATGCAGTTCTCCAGCGGGATGTCCGTGCCCAAGTGGATGTCGTCCAGGGCGAGTTGTCCCGGGTGGCCGCTGCGGATGAAGCCCTCGAACACGATCTGCGAGGGAGCAGGAGGGAAATGTCACCCGCTGCCCCCGGGGCGCTGGGCACCGCGGGGAGCAAAACACCAGGAAAAACAAAAGCGGAAGGAAAAACCATTCACAAAGGGGGAGGCTTGAGGAACATCAACGGCAAAAGGCTGAACCCCGCACGACTCACCCGGTACTCGCCCTCGTAGCTGGGCAGGATGATGCGGCCCTCGCGCCACTCGTCGCCCTGGTCCTCGGCGATGACCCAGAGCGCTTTG